AATGCCTGTGAATAAAAATTAAAGATATATTTAGTAGCTGTAAAAAAGCTTAGTCAGAATCTGCATATTTCATTGTTTATGTATTTGTTTTTTATATTTTTCCCAATCCACATGTAATGTAAAATTGTAAATCAGTGGTCTCAGTATACCATGTTCACAATTACTATTAACTTATTTTTCTAAGTAGGGATCATAACGCAAATAAAAAATGAGTTAAGTTGTATTTCATAATGTTATTTTCTCAGAAATATCTATTAAATTGTAGAGACTGAGAAAATACATTTACCTTTAAAAAATGTTTAAATTGGGTTGATGCATTTACTTTAAGAAAATGTAAATTATTATTTACAAAACATCATTTAAAAATATGGTATACTTTTTTTAAATTTGTATAATCATCTGAAGTTCTTACTTGCCTTGGTAAGCAATATTCAATAGATTTCGCTTACATTTACTATACTTTTCTTTCTAATTCATGCAATTGCAAAATTAATCAGACATATAAGAGTCATTATAAAGATTTTTGCCTGACCTTTTAGAAAATAATTTGAAAGTTCATGGAGTGAGAACTAAGGTATAATGTTGCAAATTTCTTTCTTGCTTTCTTTTTTCTTTACTCGTTGTGGGCTGCTGGTTGGGCTAACAAAGGGAAAACGTGAATTTAGCCTTTCAGCCACATAACCACTGACTGATGAAAAACAGGTGGTGAATCAATATATGCTAGACATGTGACAATCCAGGCCATGGCTGTTGTTGAAAGTAACTGAATAGGTCCTGGTAATGAACAAAAAACCCTGTTTTTACAACATAGTTGTATAACTTCAGTTGACTAGAAGCAGCTGCAGACTTTTTTTTCTATGAAGGAAAAAAAAAATCAAGCTTTATACTGTTAATCTGATCTACATTAATACCTGTCCTTGGGATTACAGTTTTCCAGAGGAGATTTTTTTCATATTTCTTTTTCTAACTCATCAAGAGGACAAACAAGTAAAAATTAAAGCAAGAAAAAGAAAAAAAAAGTTTGCTTCCCTATACAATCTTCTCATGACTTTCATAGCAAGTAGGAATTTTCTTCTTGGAAGGTGTGATAAAGAGTAGTATTTTGTTGGAATAAAATCAATCTATGTTGTAGAAAACAGTCTTTTAAATACCTCAGAGGCTAAATACATGCTTCACTATTATTCACACAAGTTACTGTGTTTTTAAAACCCATATGACCATCTTCCCTTTTTTTTTTTCAGCAAAAGAGCAGAGGAAAAAATGTTTTATCAGTGTGAAAGGCTAGAAAACGTAAAAAGATAACCTAAATACAAATCAGAACATTTCTCTATTCCTATATAAGTATATGGCCACTTTCCTACAAACTATAATTTTGATATCTGTGAATGAAAGCCAGCTCTGTAGCCAGAGCCTAAATTTTGAATCACTAAGGTTAAGAATACTAAGTACTCAGAAAATCCATTACAGAGGTTAGCCTGTTAATTCACAATATACCTTTTTATACAAACTGGGAAACATATAAAACTATTAGAATTATTATTTTGCCTATTTTTGAACATGCGTGGCATTACTCTGAATCTAAGTTCATTACGGGACATATCAATTTGCAATCTTGTTTTTTAACATCATAACTAAATGATTTCATATAAAAATTAATTTTTAAATTACAAAGAAGAAGATATTTGAGGGGGAAAAAAAACAAACCTTTGAAATTTGGTCTTATCCTGGGATCATAACTGACCAGTAGCCTATTCAAGATATTGCTAGTGGAGTTGGCAGGGACTCGGGCAAGGTCCTCTGGTGACTGCTGGCTATAAGAGAAAAAAACAAAACAAAATCCTGATTAAGTATTTTAAAATGGCAATCAATAGGAATGGGTCATTTTCAATGGAGAAAAGACTTGGCTTCTGGAGACAAATCTACAATTACAGCACGGAGTTTCCAAATACAAGTAAATGAAAAGTAGTAGACATTGTCAGTAGGCTGAAATATGTGTGCCATGAGAAATAAAACCAATAAAAAAGTACTTTAGCACTTATTTTTACCAAATGAATAAAACACTGTTCTAAATACTCCAACTTTCTTTTAAATAAAATTAAGCAGACATCTTACTTGTCCTGAAGCAAGCTTCAATCAAAATCTAGATGAGCACCAAGGGAGTGCAGACAATGAGATAACAGCAAAAGATATGTCATTTTTAATAATGTAGTATAATATGAACATTCTGCATAAGGGAGTATGTGGATACCGTACGATGGCCACAAAGATAGCCTAAGAATTTTTTTTAAAATCATGCTGATATTTATAAAACTTTATTGTCCAAGAAATACACAATGAATGTTCTCATCGAGTTAAATATGTTGGAAGGGGGTGTGAAAATAAATATATTGCTAAAGGAAACCTCTTTTAAAATGGAGTTGAAAGGCCCTGTAGGGGGAGCTCTCATGCAAGTACCACTTCTTGCAACCGACAAAACCAGCAAGAAGGGAGGACGTTTTTCACTTAGGATTCTAGCTCCTGCTTTTATGAGAAGGAAGATCTCCTTGCCCCAGCAGCAACACATTAACCACCCCTTGCAGATCTATGAAAAGCCACCACAACCTTGAACTCCTGTTCTCCAATGAACCCCCCCCCGCCCCCCCCCAATTTCCTCCTAAAACCTGACAAAAGCTAACCTTCCCTTTGTCTCTTTGGACTTGCCTGTGGTTCACCTGAGCTTGCTTGTCCCAAATTGCAACTCGCTGCTATTCCCAAATAAACTCAATTTCCAATAAATAACTGGCTGTTTTTATTTTTGAGGATGACAGTTCAAATTGGTCAGAGAAGGTCTCTGTTATCAGACCAGTTAAACAGGGAAAATACAGAACTACAAGATACAACTATCTCTTTCTATTATATGTGTTTGCTGTCCATGACTAAAAAGAGAGAAAAAACTGCCATATTTTTCTATTCCAATTAACTTTGAACAATGAATCGATTAAATTGGTAGTTGCTTGGCAATACTTTAAACACACACACACACACATTTCCTTGGAAACCAATGGAAAATGTTTGGTTATTATTTGTTTGGGTTTGTTTTAGCACTCATGAACTCTGATCATATAATCATTTTCCCAATACAAAAAAAAATCCATGAGAACCACAAGGAAGATTAAAACTATATTTGGAGCATCTAGCACTGTTCATTCATTATTGATATGGTAAAATGTCAATTTCATAAATGATATTCATTTATATGAATCAAACTTGGATGTGTTGACCGGGGCTTTGTTTTGAAATCCCAGCTCTTATCTATCAGGCAATTCTGTTCTGAGTTAATTATCATACAGTCTGCTGCAAAGATTCAACCACTAGAGGTAAGATATGATCAATATTAAGAAATTCATGAAAAATCTAACAATAATATGAATTGATAAACCTTTTTCAAGTAGCTATCAGAGTCCAAAACATTTTTTTTAAAAAGTGAAAATCAAATTAGTTAAAACTCCCCAAATTGCAAGAGATTATATAGTACTTTAAAATTGTTTCTCATGATCTTATTAGACCAAAGTTGCAGAGAGTTGGAACTGGTAATAAGATTTCATTTCATTGCAGGTGAAATTGTAACCTCTTTAAAGCCAACTGTCACCCTTATCAAAGAAAAAATCCTAAAGAGAATGAAGGCATGTGGGATATTAGGATGCAAATTAGCATTCAAACTCACAAGATTTCTCATTGATGAGAAAATAATTGATCAATTACAAAATGCTCATATCGGTTCAATTAAAGAGTGCTATTATTGTGCCTCTTGATATAAAATCTTTCATAAGTATCTTCCTTCTAAACAATGAAATGACCAAACAGCATAAAGACAGTTAACACTAGTTTTTGTAGTAGACAACTTTCCAGCCTGATTTTTTTTCTTCCAGCTGTGAAGAGTGACAGAATATGCCACCCTACAATAAATCCCTTTGTCATAAGGATTATTTTGAGCTAAAGACACTTGGAAAATAGCAAATGAAGGGAGAGGCCTTCTTTGAACTCTCTGTAACTGCCGATAAACAGATCCTCCAAAATGAATTCAATTATCATAGAAGCCCTCCCCAGAAATTTCAACTAGGAAAGACTAACTTATCACAGGAGAGGAGAGTAGAAGTGGACAGCACACCAGACAAACTTTGTAATAAACTATCATATTTTTCTATATTTTAAATGGCCAATTCATCTTTCCTATAAATCATTTATTCTCCCTTAGTGGCCTACATCCCCCACACTCCCCCCCCACCCCCGTTAAGATGATATATAAGCCCAGTTGGTGTGGCTCAGTGGTTGAGCACTGACCAATGAACCAGGAGGTCATGGTTCGATTCCCAGTCAGGGCATATGCCCGGGTTGTGGGCTTGATCCCCAGTGTGGGGCGTGCAGGAGGCAGCTGGTCAATGATATTCTCTCATCATTGATGTTTCTATCTCTCCCTCTTCCTACTTCTCTGAAGTCAGTAAAAATATATTTAAAAATAAAAATATATTTTAAAAAAAGATGATATGTAAGCTCTCAAATCTCACTATTTTGGGGGTATTCACTTTTTTTATTGTAATGTCCCTGTGCATGTAATATTGAAAATTAAGTTTGAATATCTTTTCTCTTCTTAATCTGCCTATTTCCAGTTTACTTAATAGACCCAATTATAAGCTGTAAACTGTGTCAATCAAACTCATTTTCTAGCTATTCTAATTCACTAGCAAATTTTGTCCTTCCTTCATTCACTGGCTCAGAATAAATCCCCCTTCCTGGAATATTGTAATTTCCACTTCTTATTGTATTAATCTAAACCCAAACCATCTTTCAAGATTGACTTTATAAAATCTTGTCTTAATCATCCCACCTTACTCTAATAAAGACAAACTGATAAATATACATTGCCAATTATTTTGTAGTTATTGATTTTAGCAAGAGGAATGGAGAGGGATAGAGATATAGAAACATCCATCAGCTGCCTCCCTTACACCCACTACTGGGGTTCTAGCCCACAACCCATGCATGTGCCCCGACCAGGAAGCTAACCAGGAATCTCTTGGTTCACGGGTTGGTGCTCAACCACTATAGCCAGGCTGTAGTTTTTCTTATCTACATGTATATTACCAATAAGACTAGATGCATTCAGTATAATACTTGAGGAAATAATAGCTTCTGCATTTTTGTAATAACCCTATGCAGCTTATATAGTATCAAATACACATTGGGTTCAAGCCTTTTCATCTGCCAGGTCTTTAGGAAGGCTTTAGTCTCAAGATAGCTGCATGTGCTGTAGCAGTAGCAGTTACACTCATCATTTCCAGATGAGGAAGAGCATTTATTCCTGTGGTGTCCTCTTAGGAGAAAGGACTTTTTTTTTCTCTCTCAGAAGCTTTCTAGCAATGGACATTGCTGAACTAATCACGGACCAGGAGGAAGAAACAATCATGATTAGCTCAGATTATAGTCTGGTATGAAATAGATATTGGAGAATTAACCACCTTGTCCATTACACTCTTGTATTTGATAATCACAAATACTTGCGTAAAGAAGAGAGATATTAGTCACGCAGAGAACCATTTATTCAGTGAAATGAAAGAGAAAAGCCAGATTGGTAGGAAAGTGAGTGGTAGGTAAGTACATGAAGCAATAGAGTATATGGTATATGTGGAAATGAAGACAGTAAAATTAAGACAGCTTTCTAAAGTGGTAGAGTCAAGAATGAAACCTGCTAATTCAGATTTCTAGGTATCACTTGACAATAAGCCTGCCATTATGGAAAAGAAATACTATCTATCTTCTTATGATCATCCATCCATATATTGTTTTATATTGCTTTATTTAGGACAATAATCTATATTATATCACACTGTAAGTTCAATTAGTTTTACTAGCTTTTAAAATTATTAGTTCTAGAAAATCTGAATTTGACCTTTTCCAATTAACCAGTATCACTCTTCTATCTAGTTATCTCCAAATGCTTGTATTTTTCTCCAAAGCAAACTACAACAACAAAATCTTGCCTGGCTGGTGTGGACCAGTGGTTGAGTGTCAACCTATGAACCAGGAGGTCAATGTTTGATTCCTGGTGAGGGCATATGTCTGGGTTGTGGGCCCAATCCCTAGTATGGGGTGTGCAGGAGGCCACCAGTCAATGATTTTCTCTCATCATTGATGTTTCTATCTCTCTTGCCCTCTCCCTTCCTCTCTGAAATCAATAAAAATATATATCTTTAAAATCGTATGTGTTAAAATAAAAAAATGTTGGCTGACAAAAACAACCTCCTGAATTGAAAAAGGGAACACATCACATATACTATAGCCCATTCTATTCTTATTTCATCACTATGTGTTCTCATGGCTCTGATGCAGGTGCCTTGATACAAATATTTAGTCAATAGTTTACCCTTCTTTATATTAATATTTCAGAGGCATTTCAAAATTTAAGAGAAATCTCATGTAGTTTATATTCACATGCATAAATTCAGGGATTTTCATACCCTAAAAATCATATATTTTGCTTAGTCAATACTAAAATAACTTTAATCTCTAAACATTAAAAAAACCCATTTTAAGTGCTTAGATACCTATGCCACTTTCTTCCAAAGAGCTAAAACAATTTGCATGTAGCATATTTTCCTATGTCTGTACTTGCCTATATATAACCTTATAATCTGGAAATGGAACAGTATTATTTATACAAAATAAGCACAAATAATAAGAGTTAAATGATGTTAACAAGGTCACACACTTAATGCCTTTCACTATTAGTCTCCATATTCTGACTCTCAATCTAATGTTTTATCCATCTGACTAT